TTTTTTTTCCCCATATTTTTTAAAAATATATATATTTTTACAACATTCTCTCCCCAGCCAGTGGTCTTCCCTCCAGCTGATCCCTCATGTTTCACAGGATGAGTTGCACATCCTGCCCAATACCCAGGTTTGAATTACTATGGAATAAGCAGCAATGAAACCCTCTATCAAAATAATCAGGAGTTCCAAAAACCACAAACAACCAAACAAAGCGAGCTGAACTAACTCAGCAAAGACCATTTGGGAGCATCAGGGGCTGGTGAGTCACTTTGCTTTTCCCTCCCTCAGCAGACTCCCATCCCTGCCTTGCAGCAGCCCCGGGGAGGGCAGGTGGAGTGGGTAGGGCATGACTTCAGAAAGCTAAAAAAAAAAAACAACAAAAAAAAAAGCGAGGGGGGGGGAGAAGGAAAAGAAAAAAAAAAAAAGAAGCAACTCGACATCACTCCCGTCACGTGACCCGGAGGGACCAATGGAGGCAGGTCGTGGAAAAAGGGGAACAGTTAAATTTGTAATTTTGGTTGTGTGAAACACTTCTTTGGGCCCTCATAAACAACCACAGAACCACAAGTTGGGTGCTGAGGCAGTCACACGAGAGCGGGTCCGGGAGATTGGTCAGCAAGGGAGGGCGAAGCCGCTGCCGACTGCAAACCACAGGGTTTCGTAGGGTGGTAAGCATCAGCAACCACAACCAAGCCACTCTCTTTTTTTTTTTTCTCTCTCTCTCTCTTTTTCTTTTTTTTTTTTTTTTTGCTTTTTGCTTCTTTTTAAGAAACGATTTCTTGGTTTTTTCTAGCCAATAAAAAAAAGAACCTCCTCGATCCGCCTCGTGCCGAGCGAGCGGCGATGGCCGGGAGGAGGGTGGTGGTGGTGGTGGTGGCAACAATGACCCATCTTCATTTTTCACTCCCCAAGGTGGAAGAAATCATAGATCCCTTCCCAGTGAAGAGGGAGAGTGAGTTTTAAAGAGGAAACAATGGCTTCGAACAGCATATTTGAGTCACTTCCTTCTTACCAGCACTTCTTGAGAGGTAAGTGCCATTCAGAATTTTCTAAATGTACTTTTGACTTTCCCATGCCAGAGCAAATGCACGTTTGGAGAGTTGTCTGGGGTTTTTTTTGCTTGTGGTACATGCTTTTTCCCACTTCAGTTTGGCTTTGAGGCTCTCTCCTGGAGGTCAACACCGAGCTTGCAGGAACATCATCTCGTTACTTATCGGCCCGTCAGGGAGATCATAACGAGGGCTCAAACGAAGCTGCTCAAACGTGCTTGTGAATTTGCTCTTCATAAATCAAAGTGTGCTGGAATGACTATTGTGAATTACTGCAGATACAACGGTGGGAGCACAAGCTGCCCCTTTCCCGATCCTTTTTTTTTTCTTTTTGGGCAGGATTAGGACTTTTTTGAGCCGCTGCCATGACAAATGACAGCCGGCAGCCAACGACACGTCTCGCAGGCAGGGAGACAGCAGGGCGTGATGCTGCCTCCTCACTTAGGCTGGACTTTAAGCCTGACTAAAGGCATGCCCACCAGGGGAAAGCCGGGCAAAGCTTAGAAACCCGCTTAAAAGTTTGCTGCGGCTCGCGTGGGCAAAGCGAGGAGTTGATGCCACGCTGGGGGCTCTCAGGGGGGATCGATGGAATCTTGGAGGGGGGAAACGCTCTGGAAAAGGCTGAGGGGGGGACTTGAAAGGCTTCACCCGCCGCCCGCCCTTCTTAAAGCAGCGCCCCAGAGGCTCCGGGTGCCGTTCTCAGAGCCCCCGCGGAGCCGCCGGGTTTTAGTCACGGCTTATTCACCCCTTATTCACCTCGCTGGCCCGAGGAGCTCTCCTGCTCCATTAGAACCGCCTTCCTAAATATTTTCACGCTCCGGATGAACTTTTCCCCTCTCCCCTGCCCTCCCCATCCCTCCTGCGCAGCCGGGCCGTGCCCCCGAGGGTGGCACAGGGACCGCTGCGCTCCTCGGGCTCGGCCAGGGAGCAACATTTCACGACTCTTTATAGTCCCAGACTTATTTCCCGGCCTCGCTGGCGGGGTCGGCATGAGTCAGGAGTTAATCCCTGTTAACGATCGGGTTCGGGAATGCGGAAGGCTCGTCCCGACCGGCAGCAGCTCGGATGGCACCCGGCGGGGACGCGGGCACGGGGCAGGATGCCCAAATGTTTCACAGCTCTTCTCCTGCCTCGCTCCGGCTCTTTTTTTTTTCCTCTCCCCCCCCCCGCGTCCAAAGTTGTTCTACATCTGTGTTTCCTGGCACCGGGAATGGCAAGAGAGAGCCGCGTGTGAGTCACCGGAGCTCGCAGCACCTTCTCGCCCGGGCGGGGGGAGATGCTGAAGGGCTTGAGAGCTCTGAGACGTGGCCAACTTGCTCCGGCAGCTGCCATCGCTCAGCACCCCGAGCGGGCAGAGGAAGCAATACTGCTAAAATAACGAGGAGGATCTTCCTGCGATTCGTCAGCCCTTTTTTTTATTTTTTTTTTTAATTTATTTATTTATTTTAATTTTTTTTTTTAGCTCGTGCAACAGTCGCTGTAGCACAGGAAGGCTCCGTCGCTGAGGGGGGGGGTGTGGAGGGAAATTTTGTGCTCCTGATAAAAAGCAGAGCGAACCTCGGGGGGGGGCTGTGCTTGCAGAGTGGCAGAGCAGGGCCAGGAGGGGTGACAGGGGACACTGTTGCAGGCAGGGGCCCCCAAAAAACCCGAGAGCAGCTGCTTGAGGACCAAGGAGGGATTTGTCCAGAAAAGGAGGAGTTTCATTAAAGCCGGTTGATGCAGCAAGTGATTTAAGTCAACACCCCGGAATGGGGTTTATTGTCCTTTTTAATATTCATTAGTGTTGTTATTGCTGCTACAGCACCAGAATTCTGTGTTTCTTGGTGGACTAGACAAGTCTTGTGAGGCTGAAGGACATGTTGGATACCTTGGGAACACCTGGAGGTATCCAAGGCCTGGCTGGATGGAGCTCTGAGCAACCTGGGCTGGTGGAAGTTGTCCCTGCCCACAGCAGGGGGGTGGAATCAGATGATTTTAGGGTCCCTTCCAACCCAAATTCTACCCTCTGATTCCATATTCATCCAATTTTGGTAACCCAGGTACAAGCTCCCGGCACGGGATCGAACTCCCACCTCCCTGTGCCGGAAATCCTTGGCCAAAAGCTCTTGGGTTGAGTTGGAGAGCAGATATTTCATCACTGCCAAAGGACCTTCTGTTTGAATGACCTTTCATTCAAAGCCCGCGACGGTTTTCCAGCAGTTCCCTTTTTTTTTGTCCCTTTCTTCACCCAAACGAATTTTCACCAGAGTTTCAAAATCCCGGGCGCAGCAAAAGCAACGTTTGGGCTCAAGAGCAAGAAAAATAATCATCATCATCCCCGGGGGGTGGGTTGTTCTCAGCCTGTTTCTCAACAGTGTTTACCCAGAGTTTGAAATGTCCCAAAAGCGTCTCTTTTCTCTCTCTCTTTTTTCCCGCCAAAATTTATTGCGGGAAATATTTATTTATTTAATTTTTTTTTATATATATTTATTTTATACCGAATGAGTATCTGCATCATCCTGTTATTTGAGAGGGGACAACCTGTACCTAAATAAAGAGTGGCAAAGGAATTGCCCTTCCTGGATTTAGAAATAGGAAAGTTCGATTTGGAAAACTGAGCGGAAACAATTAGGGGTTGGGAGCCAAAATCCCAGAGATTTCACCTTTAAATTTGGGGTTTGGACCCCAAATCCCAGAGATCTTTCCCCAAACTGGGGGGTTGAACCCCCAAAACCCAGAGACTTCACTCCAAATCCCGGAGATTTCACCTCGAATTTGGGGGTTGGACTCCAAATCCCAGAGATCTCTCCCCAGATTTGGGGTTTGCATCTCAAATCCCAGAGATTCCACCCCAAATTTGGGGGTTGGATCCCAAAACACAGAGTTTTCACTCCAAACCTCAGAGATTTCATCCCAAATTGGGGGTTTGGACTCCAAATCCCAGAGATTCCACCCCAAATTTGGGGGTTGGACTCCAAATC